CTCATAAACAACTTTAAAATTCACCTTGCAAAGTTCTTTCCTTCTTCTCTGCAGTCTCTCTAGAACTTTTCAGTTCCCTAAGGCTCTCTGCTCACCAGCATGCTTCCTAAGCAGAGTCCAACCTGTAGGAGGACAGTGGCAAAAAAAAAAAGCAACAAGGATTCAACCCTCTCTTTCTCTCAGATCACAACTCAGAAATGAAGAAGAAATTTTCTCGGGGCTAGCACCATGTCTCACTTGGTTGATCCTCCGCCTGCGGTGCCGGCATCCCATATGGGCACCGGGTTCTAGTCCTGGTTGCTCCTCTTCCAGTCCAGCTCTCTGCTGCGGCCCAGGAAGGCAGTGGAGGATGGCCCAGGTGCTTGGGTCCCTGCATCTGCATGGGAGACCAGGAAGAAGCGCCTGGCTCCTGGCTTCGGATCAGCGCAGCGCCGGCCCTGCCGTAGTGGCCATTTGGGGGTGAACCAATGGAAGGAAGACCTTTCTCTCTGTCTCTCTGTCTATAACTCTACCTGTCAAAAAAAAAAAAAAAAGAAATTTCCTCTTCCTCAGAGTTTGGCTCCTGCTTCTATGTTGCTGCTACTACAGGATTGCTTGGAGCTGGGGCATAAGAAAATGGAAAAGAAGAAAATAAAAGAAGGCTTCCATATTCTGTTTGATGGTACACTTTGCTTTTTCATGCTCCCTTCACCAGAAACAAAGAACATCTCCCAAGTTCAGCTCTGCTGCCTGATAGCCCCTTCCAGGTTTCAGGATCCACTGTACTCAGGTAAAAGAGTAACTTGAGAGAAAAACTGGTAACTTTACTGCCACTTTAGAGGTACTTCAAATTCCGATGCTCTTCCCCAACTCTCCTACTGCTTAGTTTTCAGAGTCCTTGAGCAAGTGCACCACACGCCCTGTCCTGGATTTCAGGGGAAAAGACAGGCAGAAGAGTATTGATATTTCCTCCCCAGAATCTCTACACCCAATTTTCATAGAGATCATGTATTAATGCACACGATAAGCTGGAACTACGCAGTTTTTACTTATCTAACTCTTAGAAATTCCCACATATTACTTCAAAAAGTTTATGGAAAATGGAAGTAAAAAAGTTTGTTTTTGTCTAAAGCTATTTAAAATCTATGCATACTTTTTCATAATATGTATTTCCATGAACTTTTTTGAAGACTTGCTCATGTACATTAGTGTAGTTATGCTTCATAATCTTCATATTGTACATATGAAACAGATGCCTAGAAAACATTAAGTACCTTGATAGAGGCCAACTGACTAGTGACAAGATTCAGAGTAGGCCTTAAGAATTCTGCTAAACCATCTTCAGACTACATACTCCAAAATCAACAATAATGCTTATTAAAATTGAAGTTTCCTATGCCCCACAAAGACACATAAATTAAAATCTTTAGGAATGTGGCTCCAGAAGATTCCCATACATCCAAAGGTTGAGAATAATGCTTATTGCCTCCAATAAAAGTAGCTTTCAGTCTAAATAACTTTAAAAAGACTGTCAATATACTTCAAATAGAAATACCCATTAGTGTTGGCATCAATCAGCTTAAAATAACTTACATATGCTCACTTTCTCTAACTCCACTGTACCATGTTAAAAGACATAAAATAGGATTTGTTATAAGTCAAGGTTCACTTTATACACACCGTATTTTCTGAACCCCAGGCCTAGGAAGTAACATTCTTGCTCCCATTACAATCCCTGACAATAAGTGTTCCCTAATAACACCTCTCCCCAAGAATATCAAATCAGAATATCAAATTCTATTTTGGAAAGAGACTAGGCATAAGTAATTTCTACTTGTTCACCAAAAAACAATACTGCTGGGCTAGCACGGTGGCGTAGTAGGTAAAGCCGCTGCCTGTAGTGTTAGAATACTAAATGGGCTCCGGTTCAAGTCCCAGCTGCTCCACTTCCCACCTGGGAGACCCAGAAGAAGCTCCTGGCTCCTGGCTTCAGATTGGCCCAGTTCTGGCCATTGAGGCCATTTGTGGAGTGAACCAGTGGGTGGAAGACCTCTCTCTGTCTCTGCTTCTGCCTCTCTCTAACAAATCTTTTAAAACAAACAAACAAAAAACAATACTGCCACATTTCTTCAAGGGAGGTAAAGCTGTCCCATTCTTCCTGAAGGACTTTATTCAGCCAAAGGACAATTTTAATGGACTCCCATTCCAAAACTGGTAATGTTGTAGCACAGTGAGTTAAGCTGCCTTTTGGGATGCCCACATCCCATATCATAGTGCCTGGTTCTAGTACTGGCTTTTCTGCTTCTGATCCAGCTTCCTGATAATGCATCCTGAAAGACAGCAGTTTAATGGCTCAAGTATGTGAGTCCCTGCCACCCACACAGGAGACCCAGAAAGAGTTCTAGGCTGCTGGTTTTAGCCTGACCCAATCCTGCATATTGTGGGCATCTGGGGAGTGAACAGAGGATGAAAGATGTCTTTCTTGCTCTTTCTCCGCTTTTCAAGTAGATGAAAATAAAATAAACATTTAAAACAAAAACTGGGGACCTCATCTTCTACCAGTTCTGTTTGAACAAAGAGTCCTTCAGTGATAGATAAATCTGAATAAAATCACTTGAAAGAAACTCATTCACTATAGTATATATATATATATATATATATATATACATACATACAACTAGGAGCGGAGGAAAATTTGCATTAGAATAAGGAAATATGACTTTTCTCAGGTGAGAAGGTACTTAGGATAAGTTTGCAAGTAAGGATATAACTATAAATATTGAAAAAGTCACTCTGTCCTTAACGTGTTGTTCAATGTGAATTAATGCTATAACTAGTATTCAAACAGTATTTTACACTTGATGTTCTGTGTGGGTGCAAACTGATGAAATCTTTACTTAATATATACTAAATCGATCTTCTGTATATAAAGATAATTGAAAATGAATCTTGAAGTGATGGAATGGGAGAGGGAGAAAGAGATGGGAGGGTTGCGGGTGGGAAGGAAGTTATAGGGGGAAAAAACCATTGTAATCCATAAACTGTACTTTGGAAATTTATATTTACTAAATAAAAGTTTAAAAAAAGTCAATCAGATTACAACATTCACTCAGGATGCCTATTATGTAAATAATATTAAAATCCCAGATACACAAAGCTTATCTTTCTGGGCCTCTAAAAGAACTTTATAAATATCCCCTTAATAGCTTTTACAAGGAAAATCAATCCTAACTCACATACAGGAAAATCAAGGTCCACTATGCCATTCTTCAAGGCCCTCAGCTAGTCTTCTTACTGAAAAATGGTTAAGGGCTGGCTCTGTGACACAGTGGGCTCATCCTCTGCTTGCAGCACCAGAATCTCATATGGACTCCAGTTCATGTCCGGTTGCTCCTCTTCTGATGCAGCTCTCTGCTTTGGCCTGGGAAAGTAGTGGAAGATGGCCCCAGTGCTTGGAGACCCTGCATCCATAAGGAAAATCTGAAAGAAGCTCCTGGCTCCTGGCTTTGGATCAGCCCAGATATGGCCATTGTAGTCATTTGGAGAATGAATCAGTGGATAGAAGACCTTTCTCTCTCTCTCTTTCTCTCTCTTTAACTCTACCTCTCAAATAAATAAAATCTTAAAAAAATATAAAAACATGTCATATCAACAATTCATATTTTAGTACCAAAACTAACATTCAGCTTTTAAATAAAAATCTTCTTCAAAAATGTTTGTATGGATATTTATGAGGATGTTCAAAATTTTCAAATTGATCAGCAGTAACAAATCAGAAATAAAGGAATTCAGTAGTTTTTTTCAACAGTGAAGAATATGTCAACCAGTAATCTTCCCCCACCACCCTTTTTGGAGAGAGAAAACTCCAAAACATATGGCCCAGGAAGAAAATCTGTACTCGTTTATAGCAATGAACTGGCTTTTACATCTTTGCAGTTAGAGTACGCAAATGACTTCACAGGCAACAGCTTCCGTATGTTTCATATTTTTAACATTGACCGTTCATAATAAAGATTCTTTGATCCCAGATCAAATGTTTGAATCAATTTTCTCTACACTTACTGAGTCACCATTATAAAAGCTTCCCGCCTTCCCACCTCAGATGTTCCAGCCCTTCCTGCAATCGGAACTATCTCCATTTGTCACCTTCTCTGTGGCACTTCCCACCACTTTGCTGTGGTTTTTGGCTCTGCTCATTAACCCCTCATACAAAAGAAGCACAGTAATAAATAATTTTTGTACATAATAAGTTAACTACAATAAATAAGGTTTTCTAAGGAATTCGGAGGTTAATACGTAATAAAAGTGAAAGCTCATAATAATATGGTTAGTAAAAAAACTAGTTGTTTCCAATCAGAAAAAAATAAAAGCAAAACACTGAACATCTAAATTAAGGAAAAAACATCACATTAAAAATGTCTAGGCAAGGCTACAAGTTAAGAATATCCCTAACATAAAATTATTTTAAGTGATTCACAGTCCTTTTTATAAGTCTTTGTTGAGGAGAATATTTTTAAGAGAACTTTAATTCTTAAAATGTGAATTTTGCAAAAAGGTATTTATTAAAAAAGATTAATTTTAAAACCGGTTAAAATTTCTAGCGGCAATAAAATAAATTTAACAGTAATGTAACTATTAAACTAAAAAAAAACTTAGGGCAAATTAAACCTGGCATTTTTAAAGAAAGAAGAAAAGGAAAATAATATCACAGTTAAAAATCCTTTTAAAATCTATTTTTCTATTCTACTTTTGTTTAGACTTTTATATACATCAAAATTTAGTATACTATCTTTCTTTATTTCAAAATACAGTCAGATTCCACAATACTACAAAACAAAAGAGATCTAATTTTGACCCTGCCCTTATCAATTGTAAGTAAAATGGTATACTTTCAGGTGCTAACACAGGAAATTGTAAGTTGGTTATGGATTTAGTATTATGTTCTAGACAAAACTGAATTTTGTTAGTATAAAATGAATCGTTGCATATATCATCTGCACACACCAATGATTCCAGATTACCTTGCACACAGTGGTGAACTGTTGGTTATTTCCGGCTCCAACTATAAGATAGCCATCTTTGGTTTTAAAAGCCTAAAATAAATACATACATAAAAAATACATGTTTATATGTTGACAACTCCACAGAATTTGACTTTAATTATGAAACATCAACATAAAAAGATTTTGCTAAAGCAATGTTACCAATTAATATCGACTAATTATATTTTCTCTTAATATTTGAAAATTGTTTTAATTTAGAATTTTCAAAGTACTTCCTAGCTCTTCCTATATCATATATATCATATATATTCCTAACCCTTATAATATCAAAAAATGTCGGCCGGCACCGCGGCTCAATAAACTAATCCTCCGCCTGCGGTGCCGGCACCCCGGGTTCTAGTCCCGGTTGGGGCTCCGGATTCTGTCCCAGTTGCTCCTCTTCCAGTCCAGCTCTCTGCTGTGGCCGGGAGTGCAGTGAAGGATGGCCCAAGTGCTTGGGCCCTGCACCCGCATGAGAGACCAGGAGAAGCACCTGGCTCCTGGCTTCGGATCAGCACGGTGCGCCTGCCGCAGCACTCCAGCCGCGGTGGCCATTGGAGGGTGAACTAATGGAAAAGGAAGACCTTTCTCTCTGTCTCTCTCTCTCACTGTCCACTCTGCCTGTCAAAAAAAAAATATATCAAAAATTCACTCAGAAAAATTAAATGTTTGAATGTGATTATTACTCATAATATGAAATTCTATATTAATTACAGCATGGGTTATTTTTGATTTTTTCAAAAATTTTTGCTTATTTCCATTTATTCATATAAGGCAAAGAATATTATAGGGGAAGTATTATTTTCAACAAAGTGTATGAAGAATATATGGAAAACAAGGAAGGAACAAAGGAAAGGAAAGGAGGGACGGAGGTAAAGGAAGAAGAGGAAAGGAAGGGAGGGCAAAGGAGCTGAGGAAACTATATTTCTTCTTTGAATATCTCAGATGGAAAAATTTTCTGGACATTTTTCACTTTTTAGTACTGAAAGTTTACACAGCAAGATCTCGCTGGACATCACATTGCTTTATGTTGCTGAAAATGCCTATCCGTCTCTGGAGACAGTCTCATCAGGACAACAGACTTTTAAGTGATTGACACTCCCACCACACACAGCCTTCTCCATCCAGACAACTGTTCAGCACTCCTTTCTCCACATATGATCTCAATGAACTTGCAGGAAACAAATTTTAGCCTCATTCCTTCTTTCACAAAGTAAATGAGGGCTTTGAATTTCCTTTCTACCCATGTAAAAATTACTCTGGATCTTAATCCACTTTTACTTCCCTTACTCCTGCTAAGAAAGACAATGTCTATCTTTCTTGGCAGGATCTAACCATTTACTAATATTCTTCATGCTACATTTTGCCCACAGCTTCCAGAATCTACTCAATCATCCTAATCCCTTAATTTCTATAGAACCCTCTTCCTCTCATCTATAGGCTCATGCATCCACTGAGAATTTCACCAACAGCAACAAAGCAAAATTTACATCAATCCTGAACTACCCTTCACAAGCTAGCTTGGATTTATTTTCCTTCCCTCCCTCTCCTAATAACATAAATGTATCAACTGCCTGCAATTCCTCACTATCACCACATTAAAACAGGGTAAGAATCGTAATGATAAAAGCTATCAATGCACTGAGGCTACACTTTCTCTTACCTCTCTGTATTATTTGGTAGTTAGCCATTACCTCTTTAAGGATTTTGTCTTATCTCGAACCTCTGTGCAAGTTCATCTCCTATCTCTGACAAATTTTTCACTTGCCCTTTGGGCAGGCTTCCCTTTTTTTTAGCCTCCACCATGCCTTGAGCATCTGCCTTTGGACTTTCACTTCATTTGCTTCTTACTTAGCCATCAGTCACATGTGGCTATTAAGTTTAAATGAACTGGGGCCGGCGCTGTGGCACAGCAGGTAAAACCACCACCTGCAGTGCCAGCATCCATATGGACTCTGGTTTGAGTCCCAGCTACTCCACTTCTGATCCAGCTCTCTGCTATGGCTGGGAAAGCAGTAGAAGATGGCCCAGGTCCTTGGGTACCTGCAGCCACATGGGAGATCTGGAAGAAGCTCCTGGCTCCTGGCTTTGGATCAGCACAGCTCCAGCCATTGCAGCCAACTGGAAAATGAACCAGCATATGGAAGACCTCTCTCTCTCTCTGCCTCTCCTTCTCTCTGTGTAACTCTTTCAAATAAATAAATAAATCTTTTTAAAAAGTTTAAATGAGCTAAAATTAGCCAGTCACAAAAGACCAAAAGACCACATATTGTGATTCCATTTGTGTCCAAAATAGGCAAATCCACAAAGAAAAAAAGATAATATTCACCTAGGGATGAGGAACTTGAGGGGAGATGGAAGATAATATCAGATTTCTTATTAAGAAATGAAAATGTTGTGAAATAGATTGTGGTGCAAATGGAAAACTCTGAATACACCAAAAATTATTAAACCATAAACTTTAAATGAGTGAATTAAATTGTATATCAATTATATCTCAATAAGCTGCTATTTAAAAATTAAATCAATAATTCAGATCCATAACCACAGTAGCTATATATCAACATGTGTGGCTAGTATCTACTATATTAGGCAATTAATAAAGGGTTGGTAAATGTTAATGAATCAATCAAATTATTGCTTCCAGATAACATAACATGGATCTCCTGTAAAACACTATAATAATGTTTTATTTTAATCACTTTGTGGCTCTGGCAAGGGACACTATTGAGATTCTGCATGAGCTCATGAACACTTTTGCTTCTCCACAGGAGAAAGCAAAATTACTATCTTAGTTAATGCATTAACATTTCTCAAAATACAGAAAAGGAATGTGCAACAGAGCTGTGCACAAGGTGCCATAAGTGCCAAGGATACTGATCTCAGGTGTTTCAACTAATCATTAAGAATTGTGAAGCTACACAAGCACTTGGTTTGGTTGGTTGCTTTTTTGTGGGGAACAGTGAGGTTGGAAGTGGATGGTAAATGTGAAGTGAAAGTAATGTGAAGTGGCCGGTGCCACGGCTCACTAGGCTAATCCTCCGCCTTGCAGCACCGGCACACCGGGTTCTAGTCCCGGTCGGGGTGCCGGATTCTGTCCTGGTTGCCCCAGCTTTCTGCTATGGCCCGGAGTGCAGTGGAGGATGGCCCAAATCCTTGGGCCCTGCACCCCATGGGAGACCAGAGTAAGTATCTGGCTCCTGCCATCGGATCAGTACGGTGCGCCAGCCGCAGTGCGGTGGCCATTGGAGGGTGAACCAACGGCAAAGGAAGACCTTTCTCTCTGTCTCTCTCTCACTGTCCACTCTGCCTGTCAAAAAAAAAAAAAAAGTAATGTGAAGTGTTTCAAAACAAATTATGAAGATAGGTTATCAGAATTTTGGAGCAGTGATATGTTCATGTTTCAGGGATGTCATTTCAGTTTCCATCATATCATGAAATAGATCTTTACCAATAAAAAACTGAAAACTTATAAGCAGAAACCAGTCAATAATCATTAGAAAGTAAAGATTTAATAGCAGCTGAGCTACCACAATATAATCGGACTAAAGATCACCAAAACGATTTTGTAAGAACTAAGGTAAGATTATGAGTTCTTTTAATAAATATTTGTTTCATGTTACTATTTCCACAGTGCTTATGTAATAAGTACATTCTGCCTATAAGATTTTTAAATAATGTATTATATAGAAAATTGGGCAAGTATAGAAAAATATAAGGAGGAAAAAATTACCTGTGATATGTCACCCAGAAGAAGCAACTCTTAATAAAATAGGATACGTTTTCCACTCCAAGATGGTGGAATAGGGAGAGAGCTCACTAATAGTCCAGGAAAAGTTAGTTTAATATAAGTGGAGATAGGGCCAGTGCCACGGCTCACTAGGCTAATCCTCCACCTGCGGCGCCAGCACCCTGGGGTCTAATCCTGGTTGGGGCGCTGGGTTCTGTCCCAGTTGCTCCTCTTCCAGTCCAGCTCTCTGCTGTGGCCCAGGAGTGCAGTGGAGGATGGCCCAGGTCCTCGGGCCCTGCACCCGCAAGGGAGACCAGGAGGAAGCACCTGGCTCCTGGCTTCGGATTGGCACAGCGCCAGCCATAGCGGCCATTTGGGGGGGTGAACCAATGGAAGGAAGACCTTTCTCTCTGTCTCTCTCTCTCTCTCTCTCACTGTCTAACTCTGCCTGTCAAAAAAATTTTTAAAAATAAAAGTGGAGATAGTGAAGTCTCAGGGAAGAGTTAGGGAAAAAACTGCAGAGGAAACTCTTCTGGAATTAGAGGGACACAGTGGATCTACATGGAGGACATGGGCACCCACAGCTCGGGAGCCCAGCTGCCAAGAATCTCCTCCTCTGCACCAGTGCTGGAAAGAGAGGTGAGGTGAAACCACAGTAGCCCGAGAAACTGGCGGAAAAGCGGCAGGAAGAGCCTAGAGGGAATGTGGCTTGAAGCCCTGTGGGGGAAAGTACACTAGCCTAACTAGAGGAGAGAAAAAAAAACAAAAGGGACGGTACAGACATGATCAATTCTCTCTCTCCACACAGCTTACAAAGCTGTGTGAAACAATAGAGCAGGTGCCATTTTGGACATACGTAACAGCTGCACCAGCTCGGGGCAGCGCCACCCTCAGCCAAACAGAAAAACTTGACTCTGGTTGGGAGTAATAACAGGAGACTAAGACCTAGTGAATGTGTGGAGGTTATGAACCGGGACTGTGAAAAAAACAAATTGAGGGTGTGTGAGAGAACTCACGGTGTGGCTGAGATGTGAGTAGTCTCAGAGGGAGACGCCACAAACTCAGTAGCCTTGGCTACACAGTGAGAGACATTGCAGGGGAATCTGAGCTTATACTGAGAACTGCACAGATCCTTTGTGTGGTCCTTGGGACAGAGCAGACAAATACTATACCCACTGGGGCTAATGCTCAGGCACTGATTGCCATCAAGGAGAAGAGCTCAGCTGAGCAGAATTACTTCCCTTCTGAATAAAAAGAAAAAAAAGGAGAGAAAGAGAGACAAGATTTACCATGCCAAACCTAGATGTGTCACCTTTGGCAC